TCAGTAAAGTCATTCAAGAGGTGACTTTTTTTTTTTTTTATTTAGAGAAAGATCGAGCGAGTCGGGGGATGGGCAGAGGGAGACTCCACTGAGCACGGAGCCTGACACAAGGCTCGATCCCATGACCCTCAGATCATGACCTGAGCCGAAACCAAGAGTCGGATGCTTAAGCGACTGAACCACCCCGGTGTCCCAGGAGGTGACATTTAAGCAGACGAGGAGAGAGATGCATGGATGGGTGTTGAAGAAAAGTGTAGCATGCAAAGAAACATTTGGCACAAAGCATGTTCCCAGAACCCTTATTCCTTGAATGGGGGAAGGTGTGGGAAATGAGGGCTGGCAGATACTCGGGGGGTGGAATAGAGAACACAGAGCCTTTCAAGTCACTGTAAGGACTTCAGGTGCAGGTCACACCAATGAGGGCTGCTAAGGAGCTGCTTCAGAGTCATGCCCAGATGTATTTTCTTCATCGAACCATTCAGGTACCTGCATTTCTTTGCTCAGATCCTGAGATGAGAGTTTGTAGTACATGATTGGTGCTGTCCAATAGAATTTTCTGTGATGCTGGGAATGCTCTATCTCTGCTGGTCACCATGGGAGCCCCTGGCCACAGGTGGCCGTGGAATACTTGAAACGTGCCTAATGTGATCCACGAGCTCACTTTCTGATTTAATCTTATTCTGATTGATTTTAACCTAAATTTAGATGCCCACCTGTGGCTGGTGGACCACGCAGTGTTAGGATGGTTGGTTACACTTGGGCATTTCCCTCCACGCTGGTTTTTATTCAGTTCCAGCAGCCAGGTCATTCTCACCTCGGGGCATTTGCACCTCTGCTGGTTGGTTCCCGTGTGTCCTTCAGGCCTGAGCTTACACAACACCTCCTCCAAAGGCTTTCCCTGACCTCCCTGTTGGAGGTAGGTTCCCCCTCCTGATGGCATCCTCAGTTCATAATTACGCTTGACATTTACTTACTTTCTAAAGCCAAGAGTTCCTCAAGGTCAGGGATTTGATCCTCTTGTCTCCCCTCGTGGATCTGCAGCAAATGTGGGAACAGAAGCAGTGTCCGTGTGTACAGTTTCGGGGAGATGGAGACAAGGGGCCTCTAACCCAGTTTGGGGAGGGGTTGGTGAGTCCGGAGCAGTTTCTCAAACCTTAAGTAGGGATTTTAGAAGATGAATAGGAATGAGGAGCATGAAAGTAACGTTGTAGAAAGACTTTTCCTACAAAGATGAGAAGGAGCAGTAGGTAGGAGGAGTAAGGAAAGCATGGGGTGGGGTCTGTGGGCCTTGGGCTGTGTGTGCCGATGGGAGGGGTCCTGATTGTGGAGGACCTCAGGGGCCTTGAGATGGAGCCTGTAGGTCAGGGGCCAGCAGATTTTTTTTTTTTTTAAGAGCCACAAGTAAATAGTTCAGGCTTTGCAAGCCCTAAGGTCAAAACTTCTGAACTCCACCACTGAAATGGAAAAACAGTCTTCGGCGACGTGCAAATGGCTGTGGCTGTGTTCCAATAAAACTTTATTTATGGCCACACATTCAAACTCCAGATAATCCTCAGAGGACATGAACTATTCTTCTGATTTCTTTTTTTTCCAACCATTTAAAAGAGTAGAAACCATTCTTAGCTCGTGGACCATTCAAAAACAAGCCGCTCGCCACATTTGGCATCTGGCCATGTTTGGTGGGAGGCGTTAAAGGGTTTGAAGGGGGACAGGAAGCGGTCAGATCAGGATGTCGGCTAGCTCCGTCTGGCTTTGGTGGGATCTCAGGGGCAGGTGTGAAGACAATGAAGACACTGGTGGTTTCTTTGAAGAGGCTGGGCAGCAGTCTGGGTGAGGGATGGTGAGGGATGGTGAGGTATGAAATAGGGCGACGTTAACAAGGATGGGAAGAAAGGCCTGCCTTGTGACCTATATTCTGCAGTTAAAATCAGAAAGAACTTGGTGATGGACATTCAGGGTAAGGAGTAAAAGAATGGTGCCCTAGCTCAGGCAGGACCCGTCAGCTCTCACTGACCAGTCGCAATACGGAGTGCATCTTAATGCATATTTAGGTTTGGGCCATTTATAGGGTTTCCCTTTAATCTGCAAAATGAGAGTAGTTTCAATAAATAGTGCCTCACCTAGTCCTAAGATTAGTCCCCTGGTGGGAACAATTTTGTTTGCTGTTGAATGGATAACCTAATTCTAGATGTTACTCTAGAAAAATGATACCCCAGTACTCTGTAATAATCACCTGACCATAATGACATTTCCCCCATCCTATCCTACCAAAAGAAGTAGCTAAATGATCTCCTTTAAAATATATAATTGCAGAACGTAAAGTAGGCTTCTGGTATTAGAAGAAATTCCAGTGGTAGAATCTAGGACATTGATTATAGTAAAACTCCTTTTGCTGTTGATTCGAGAATGCTTTAGCTTTTTCCAAATCTTAGCTGCTCTTGCGAAGCAGCAAACAGTGCAGAGAGAGCAGGAACCTTGTAATCCCAAATGTTAGTAAATGTTTCATTACCATAAAATTACATAAGTTATCCCTGCAGCCCTACAAAACTACCTTTCCACTTGCCCTGTTCTAGGGGATTTCTGCTGTGTGAGTATTAATGAAAGCGGAGTTAATTTACATTACAATTTCGCACGCCACCTGGGGACACAAAGACTTTGGGTTAAATAAGAAAACACATGTGTGGTGTACATCCTGCAAATCTGCATTAAGGTAAATGATAAGATTGGAGGGGATTAACTCAGTGTATTTTGTAATGCCATATCCTTGCTTTTCATGATGTTGATTTTACCCCTCTGTGGCCATTAAGTTTTCTCCCTGAATCAAGTAGCCAAGTTCAGCTTCTTTAGCCTTTATTTTTGTCTGTGAGTTTTTTGAGAGATTTGTTTGGTGCAAATCTCTAATACCTAGGTCTAGGATTCTTTAGCTGCTCTTTATGGTTGTCTAGTCAAGAAATATATCAAGTCGCTCAGTGAAAAAAATGGGTGATTGACTAACTGAAATTTGCAGGATTCAGAAGGTTGCTTTAGTATCATAAGGTAGTTGGCCTGTTACCAAGGCAGCAATCCTTGAACCAAGACATTCTTCTCACTGTGGTTGCCCCCGCTGAGGAAGGGCCTTGGATATAAAGCTGTTACTCACTGAAGAGGGATGCCCCATCCCTCACTTTGTTTTATCCCTTTCTCCCCTCCAGCGCCCTTCTCTGTGCCCTGTTCAGGCACCCCCCCGGGCGCCATGACCCTGAGTGCTCTCAAGCCCAGTGATTGGAAGAGCGTAATGGTAACCGCTGTGTTTATGCTTACTCTGTGAGGCATCGCACTGAATGTCTCCACCTGTCTCTTGAGAAATGTGCTGTTTATAGAGGAGCAAACAGACCTGGTGAGGGTAAGCACCTTGCCCCAGCCTCCATGGCTAGAACTGGGGCGGAGCTCAGATTCAGACCTAGTGGGAATTGCAGTAGGGTTCTGGGGTTTGTGCCCACAGGACCAGCTCTACCTCACCTGCCTCCCCCTCCGTGTCCGGCACTCCCCTGAGCCAGACTGCAGTGGTTCTGCAGACATGAGCCTCCCTGGTCACCTGCAGGGTCTTTGCTTGTCCTTGCCCTCGCCTCTTTATCCCAAGGCATCAGTAGGGCTTTCACATCTGAGGCAGCTCAAAATGTATTGGCAAGGAGTGCCCAGGAGTGTCCCGGTGGACTTATGTCACTGGGCAGCAGCCACTCCCTCCCGCACCTAAGCAAAAAGGGTTTATCGGAGCAGGAAACACGTCTGATTCCTGGAGTACCATGCTGGCATCTTTTAATCGACGTCCACCATGATGCTGGAATCTGGTCCACCTCATCTCTTCCCGGGTTATTACAGAGGCCTCTTAACTGGATGCTCAGTATCCAGTCTTGCCTCTTCCCCAGTCCGTCCTTCTCCCGCAGCCAGATGTTTCTACAACAAATTTAATTGCCGCTCCCTTGTCTAAAATCTTTGTGACTTCCCATCGCTCTTGGGATCAAGAATGATCCTTTTAGGTTCCTTCTAAAGCCCTGAGTGGTCTGGCCCCTGCTCGTCTTTGCAGCCTTGTCTCGCATGGGGCCTCATGCCCCTCACACTGTCTGTCATCCTTCAGAACCTGTGTTTCTCCAGGAAGCATGGTTTTATTCTTGCCTCTGAGCCTCTGCACATGCTGTTCCATCAGTGCCCCCTTCGTGCACATCCCCCAGCATAGCACTTGCTGATCTCCTCACTTTTCTTCACCACTGTGGTTCGCACAATTACAGTTCTAGGCAGAGTAGCAGCTCAGTAGACCTCTCTTACATGAACAAATGAAAACTACCCATTCCATTTTAGGTTTTTAACATTAATTTGGATCTGTCTCCCACATTCATGATCTGGGTTTGCCAATATTGCTGACTCAGCTTCATTTATCTTTTCAAATGTTTACTTTTTTTTTTCCTTCCTTCCTAAGCTTCTCTTTTCCCACTCTTCATTCAAGTCCTCCTTTTTAAAGACGTCTTGGACTGCTTTTCAGTCTAGTCATCATGATTACCAGCACAGCGATCCTGGGTAGCTCTCGGCCATGCTCCGCAGGACTGTTGAAAACTCTGGGTGCAACTCTTTCAGCCTGCAGGGTCCTTCAGTAGCCGCCCCAGCCCTGTTTGGGCCACATGTGCCGGCAACGCAGGGAAGGAAAAACGAGTATTGTGTTTGCACACAATGTCTTAAAGGGATAGAATTCTCTCGATTATTTGCTGGGGTGAGCAGGGAGGAGCAAAGAGGAAGGCAGTTTATGATGGGCAGTGATTCTGGGGGGAAAAAAAGGAAATTAAATCGTGTAAAGTAAAAAGGAATCTCTAACAAGAAAATGTTCCCTGTTTCCAACAATTCATTTGTTGGATGTAGATCTAGATTTACTTAGCACAGCCCCCTCTCCACTCCCATCAGCGACAGCAGAATTGTTGTTGAGGTGGACCAGGTAATAGCAGTTGTTCTTTGTTGCTTTTTCCTCACTCCAGAGGTGACCCTGAAGGTCCACGTCAGTGACGCCAGCACCCACCAGCCCGTCCCAGATGCGCTCATCGAGATATTCACCAACCAGGTGTCCATCGCTTCCGGCACCTCGGGGACAGATGGCGTTGCCTTCATCAAGTTCCCGTATAAGCTGGGCAGTCAGCTGATCGTCACCGCCACGAAGCATGCCTACGTGCCAAACTCTGCCCCGTGGAAGCCAATCCGATTACCCGGTAAGGCCATCCTAACCTTTCCCTAGAGCAGAGCTCACGGTCCAGGCTAGTGCTGGAGTCAGGCACAGAAGCGATTTTGAGAGTGGAAGGCAGGCGATCAGAAAAATAAGGGTTTAGTCTCTGCTTTACTTTTGGGGGACCTTTTTTTTTTTGTGAGATTTTATTATTTATTTGCCGGAGAGAGAGAGAGAGAGAACAAGTGCACAAGCTGGGGGAGCGGCAGGCAGAGGGAGAGGCAGGCTCCCCAGGAAGCAGGGAGCCCAATACGGGGCTCAATCCCAGGACCCCGGGATCATGACCTGAGTTGAAGGCAGACACTTCACCGACTGAGCCACTCAGGCACCCCTACTTTTGGGGGCTTCTTATGGGAAGGGTAGGTGGGGTTCTGTATGAAGCAGGTGGGGGCTCTCCCTCAGTTTACACACACAACAGAATCAAAAGCCTTAGAGTTTCTGCCCATTGCCCCAGCATCCTCCTTTGTACCTTTTTGATTCCAACTGGTAGGATGGCATTGGGGCAGTGCTCTGGAACGGGGCTTCCTTGTTCTGCTTCATGGGGCCTGACAGAACACTGGCCAAAGAGGCAGGGGGTGATGGGGACTCTGTCTCTCTTTCACCCTTCTTACCTGCTAAGGGAAAACCCACTCCTGTGTGTTTCCTCAATACTCTTCTTCACTTCCAGCGCTTCTGATCACCCAACATGCTCGGTATTTTCCCAAGCAGTTCTCAGATTCTCGGACACCAGCTGGGTGCCCTACAATTTAACTCCATACTGACACTATCCACTATCCACCTGGAGACAGCATCAGATCCCACAGGTGAAGGGCTCAGTCCCACATGACTGCCCCCACCCCACATCAGACACCAATCACAGGTCCACGTTGTCCCCTGGGCTTCTGACCCACTGGCTATAAATCAGAAGTCCCCCAACCTCCTCCTCAGGTTCGACTCGGTGGCCACAGTGGCTTTCAGAACTCAGGGAAACAGTCGTTAAAAAACAAAAGTCAACCGAGTAAATTTGAAGTCTGTTTGGCTTTATTTAAGTGATTTGTAAATCAGGCAGCATCCATCTCAAAAGTAGAGGGGAGCTTCAAGGAGATGCACTAAAGGGAAGATTTTATAGGAAGGAAGGTGGAGTGAGGAATTATTAGCAAAAGAAAAGAAAGGATTGTTTCAGGCAGGGTCACTTTTCCTTAGGGGGAAGGGCAGGGATCTTATCAGGCGGGTCACCTCATCTTCTTTTGAGGGGGAGTGGAGAGGGCCCATGTGACAGATTACCTCATTGATGCTGATCAAAAAAATTCCTGACTGACCCAGTTAAAACTGTATTTAGGTTAGGTGAGGTATTAAGTTCCAGTTTGGTGATTTGGCCTAAGTGACGCCATGTTGGGCCTGTGGGTTTTTTTGGTTTTTGTTTTGAACACAGTTTACTTACTAAAACACTGGTTCATTACAAAGGTATTGAAGGAACAGCCCAATGGAGGAGATCGTATAGGCAAGGGGTGTAAGGAAGGGGCGCAGCACCTCCACGCCTTCTCTGGGCGTACCACCCTCCCGGCACCTCCGTGTGTAGAGCTACCCAGAAAGCTCTCTAACCTCATCCTGTTGGGTTTGTATGGAGGCTTCACAACATAATCAGGACTGATGAACTCATTGGCCACTGGTGATTGACTGGACCTCCAGCCCCTCTCCCCTCCCCATGGTCAAGGGAGTGAGGCTGAAAGTTCCAAGTTGGTTGGTTCTTCTGCCAACCAGCCGCCACCCGTAGGTCATCTAGGAGCTTTCCAAAAGTCACCTCATTAGCTAAACCCACATCGAAAGAGACATGTTATGAGTAATACAAGTCACCTTTATGGCACTTATCACTTAGGAAATGCCATGGGTTTAGGAGCTGTGGTCTAGAAACAGGACCAAGACCAGAGACATATTTCTTACTTTATAGTAAGATTAAGGATTAAGTCACCATTCACCCCTTCACAATGCTCGTCTCCCACAGGGGCAAGCATGGTGCCTGACACAGATTCTGCTTGGGATGGGGTAGGTGGAGAGTTGGACGTGGCCCCCCTTCTGTCCCCTCACCTCTGGCTCCCGCTAGCACCTGGACCACATTATCTGTTAGCACCAAGATTAGGCACAAGGAGGTGCTGAGGGCTGGAGAGAGATGCTGCCAGGGTGGAGTTTGGAAACAGGTTGACTGGTTCTGGCACCCAATCTGTGCTTGAGCCCCTCTAGCTTCCTTGCCAATCTCTGTAGAATGGAGCTCATACCACCTGGTAGAGTTGTTCTGATTGCAAAGCAGTTAACATACATAAACGACCTTTCAGTGCCTAAAGCACAGTAGGGGCTCAATAAATAGCAGAGTGCCTGGCAAAATACCAATGTCAGTGTTCAGCTCTGTGCCACTGCACCACTAGACACACTCCGTCAGGGTCCCCGCTGCCTCTGGGGACACATGGGAGCCAAGTGTGGCTATGCCTGCCCTGGCATCTACCCTCATTCACAAAATTCTCTTTAGTTCTATTTACATTTATTAAGTACCTATTATGTGCCAGGCACTGCACTGGCCACTAAGAATAGAGATGTAGAGACACAGAGCTTACCCCTGGGGAGTTTGTAATTTAGTTCGGGAGTTATGTAGTAGCCACCAAAGCCATTCCCATCTAATGGGTATGTTCATGCATATATATGCATAGGGGATGCTGGAGCAGGAAGTTTCAGCCTAGGTGAGGGAATAAAGGCTTCCTAGAGGAGGTGGGAGGGGAGCTGAGTCTGGAGGATGAATAGATATTAGCATTAGAAGGCGCTTGTAAGGGGCACTTGGGTGGCACAGTCAGTTAAGCATCTGACTCTTGGTTTCAGCTCAGGCCGTGATCTCAGGGTCCTGGGATCGAGGCCCGCATCAGTCTCTGCACTGACTGTGGAAGTCTGCTAAAGTTTCTCTCTCTGTCCCTACACCCTGCACCCCACCCCCTGTGTTTGCATGCTCTCTCTCCCTCTTTCAAATAAATAAATAAATCTTAAAAAAAAGAAAAGAGGTGCTTGTAAAAAACACACAGATTCCAGGACTCATCCTTTCAGTCTGGGGATTGATCCAGAAGTCTGCAATTTAACAAGGACCCCCCCCCACAACACACACACCCGCTCCACTTATGGATAAAAGCATTCACTAAAGTTGGAGACCACTGCTTTGTGAACTATGGAAAGTGGATTTGATACAGGTACAACTGAGGAGATCTTTTGGAAAAATCTTAGAGAAAAGGGGATAAACCATGAGAAATGTTTAGCAGACAAAATGCAGAATATCTCTGAGAACAGGTGACAGAGCCTTAAGGAAAAGGACAAAACAGAAGACATGTATGTTGAATCTCGGGTTTCTAGCTGGTGATGGAGCAGATGGAACAGATGGTCAATAGGGTTGGGAGACCCACCACTTCATGGTTCCCTAAAGTTGACTCAGTTGATGCAGTGGGTTAAAAGAAGCCCCCTTCTGCTTCCCCACTCCCCTGTGCTCGGGGCTCAGGCAGAGGGGGATGCAGGTGCTAGCAGAGGTGGGGGATGGGAGGGCAGGAATGAGTGTTGGGGGTCATCACTGATGATGAGTTTAGTGGTGGGGACACTGGTTTTAAGCTGCCTCTGGGACACAAGTGTGTTCAGCCTGTAGTTTGAAGTGATTTGAGGGCTCAAGGGGTTTGGAGGTAGAAGTGTGGTTTGGGGGTCATTAGTATTGTTGAGATAAGAACCATGAACTCATTAGCATTGTTGGGTTCAAAACCATGAACTCACCAAAGCATGGGGAGGCAGATCTGGGACGGAATCCTCAGAAAGCCCACAAAATAGGAAGATGATCTTTATTAGGTTATATATGAAGAAAATGTTTGACCGCCTCCATTTTTCACACTGAGAAATCACTGGAAACAACCCAGGGAAGTTTAAATGGTAGCCAGACACCACAACTCCACCTTTGCTGGGAGAGCCCCTGCACAAACTATCAGTATATTCTGTAAAGTCGCCATGCACCCTGGGGTAGTCAATACTGAGCCATGACTTTCAGGGGAAATTCAGGATTAGGGTCCTAGGAGCTTCCTGTCATAACATTTTCATCAGCCAAGCAATATATCACCTTGGTTTATGTGTGTTTTGGGGTGTTTAAAGACACATGATTTAGGGGCACCTGGGTGGCTCAACCATTTAAGCATCTGTGTTTGGCTCAGGTCATGATCTCGGAGTCCTGGGATCGAGCCCCACGTGGGGCTCCCTGCTCAGTGGGGAGTCTGCTTCTCCCTCTCCCTCTGTTCCTCCCCCTGTTTGTGCTCTCTCTCTCAAATAAATAAATTTAAAAAGCTTGTAAAAAAAAAAAAAGACACTTGATTTAATATACTGATGGTTCATGAACATGGAACTCAGGGCCAACAGCTCCATAACTCCTGGTTGAACAAAGCTTATCTAACATATATTTTTCCCATAAGCACCTCCCAGCCTTCCTGCAGTTAGGAATGGCAGCCCTCGGCCCGGGGGCCATTTTAAACAGCGAAATCACCAAAAAGAAGCACAGGAATGTGAAAAACCTGGCGCTTACAGTATGCAAGCTGAAAGGAAAAGGCAGAGCGTCGCCTTGTTTGACCTCAGCTGGGAACATGTGCATCCGGGCCTCAAATTTTTGACCGCTCTGTACTTGCACATATAAAGCATCATAAGGATTGACTGTGGGGTCACAAATGAATTTTAGCAAGGCGGTGCATTCGCAAACACTGAATCCACAAATAATGAGGGTTCAGTGTACTGTAATTACATTTGTTTTGACTTTGTTAACATGATCATTTGAGAAAAAGCAACCATTTCCATAATATCCGTTTTCTTAAATGAGTCAAAAAATGGAAACAATGTGGTTTAATTGGAAGGGTTTGGGACTAAGCATGAAGACCCCGGGGTTCTCGCCCCACCCGCCCCCAGCTGCCCCCAAGACGGGGGCCCATCATGGCTTTCCAAGCCCACATTTCTCATTTCTAAAACTAAATTAATTAGACTGACTAATTTTCAAGGATCCACCCATGTCTTTGATTATTTTTCTGTTAATATAATCAAGATACTCTTAACTAGAATCTGACAGAAAAGGTGACCAAACCTTGGACTTGCCTATTATAAAAGGCAGAGTAAACTATTGTTTCCATGCTTGCTTTTGGAGGTCAAGAAAATACTGTTGGTACTGCAGATAACTGGATAAGGAACAGAGAAAAGCTGGGAGCCTCTCCTAAAATGTGGTGAGAATTCGAAACTAGAAAATGCTTTCTTCTCAACACGTGTGCACACGGTCTTATTGGCATTCTTCAGAGATTTTGGAATGGATTTCTTTTTTCATCCTTGACAGTCCTTCTTGGAGAATGTGTTGGTTTTGCCCTTTCAAGGAAGGGGGTGTAGATTGGAGAGGGGGATGCCCAGCATAAGGAGAGTACCCTTTACCCTTGGCAAACAGGTAAAACAAATTCACTTATGGAAAATGCAGTCCATCAACGAAAGACTGTAAGTCCACCTCTTAATTAGGCCCATCTCCATAGTTATCGCTCTACCAGGCCTATTGCAGCCGCCTCCAGCTCAGTCCATCTGCCCCTTCAAACCACCTTCTATATTCAGTGAGCATCCGTGTCTTAAAAATATGTACCTACATATATATATATATATATATAATTATGTTACACGTCTGCCTGAAGGGCTTCAGTGTCCCCAGGATAAAGTTTAGACCTTCCTTCCCTAGTCCCTTCTACCTTATGTATCTCATGGTCTAGATGCCTGGGCAATTTGTTGTTCTCTTGATGAAGCTGACATGTCACCCACTCTGTTTGTCTGCACGGTTACTCCTTGACCGATGCTCTCTTGGCGAGTTTGTCTTGGGTGTTCCATGCCCAGCCTGGCTGTTTGCTGCTCTGTGCAGTCTTCCTGACTCTTGCAGGTGGAGTTCGACATTCCTTTCTCTCTACTTACCAAAACACAAACATCTGCCTGGAAGGACAAGAACCTCCAGACATCAGCCAGCATCCCCCCTGTGATGGGGGTCCAGGGTCTCTCTGCGCCCCCCTCCCACCCCCTGGGGCATTCAGTCCCTTCTCTCCTGCTCCGGGAAGCCCCTGTGGTGCCTCTCAGCCCACTCATCATGAGAGGTCATTTTTCTCTCCAGGATAAAAGGCTTTAGAACGTCTGCTCGAGCAGACGCCTTATGTATGGAAGTACCAAATGTTTTCAGTTAGAGATGTTCACAGAACACCCTGCGGTGGTCACACACATCTCGAGAGACTGATCACAGGTGACTTCAGAGCTCAGAGTCCCCCACAGCAGTCGGCACAGAACTGTTCAGGGCCCAGGAAGTGCCACTTGGGATGTGTGTGAGCTCTCTGATGGGACAGGGCGTTCATGAAGGCAGCATCACTACAGTGACCCTTTCTTCCGGGCCACTGGGGACCCAGTGCTGTTGGGTGAAGGGATCATTGTTAAAGAAGGTTAAGTGTCCCTTTGAAGCGGTTACGAAGGATTTATCCAAGGTAGGTCTCCCTGCTTTAATCCTGGCTCACACGCATTCCCTGATCCTCCCTCCCCCAACCTGAAGTGACTTTTCTCCCAACTTTGTACTCCTAAGATGAAGTCTTTTTTTTTCTTATTCTTTTTGTTTTTGTATTTAAAATTATAATTCATATACCATTAAGTTCACCATTTTGAAGTGTGCAGTTCACAAAATTATACAACCATCACCACTAATTCTAGAATATTTTCTGTACCAGAAATATTCCAGAATATTTTCTGTACCCCCCATGACCCCCAGGCCCTGGCAACCACCGATCTCCTCTCTGTCTCTGTGGTTGGCCTATTCTGAACATTGCAGATAAATGGAATTCTGTAATATGGAGCCTTCTGTGTCTGGCATCTTTTACTTTGTGTAGCATTTTCATGGTGCATCCGTATTATAGCCTGAATCAGTATTTTTTTCCTTTTTTATGAATGAATGATGTTCCATTGTATGGATGGACCTCATTTTGTTTATCTGCTTATTGGTTGGTGGATATTGGGTTGTTTCCATTTTTTGCCATGAACATTGACTTATAAGTTACTGTGTGAATATACATTCTCAGTTCTCTTGGGTCTCTACCTAAAAGTGGAATTGCTGGATCAGATGGTAACTCTGTGTTTGATATATTTTGAGGAACCACCAGATTATTTCCACAGCACCGAGGTGCATTCTTGTGTTGCTCATGGCAATGACCACCTTCCACTTGTGTGCCCCAGGCCGCTTCTAATTAGAACCTCGCAGGCACAGATTGCCTCCAGCACTGATCTGTTCCACGCTTCGAGCACTGGGCCTTGTATATAATGGCAGCTCTGTAAGTTGACTGTAGAGGGGATATGAAAAGAGAGGTCATGTCCAAGGCCAGCTCACTGGTCCCCTCCGGGCACTATTAAGACCCAGTAGTCCTAACAGATATTCTTAGCACTTGATATTTCTGGTCCCTGATATTTCCCAGAAAGTCAGTTTACCTCTCTAGACCTTGCTTTCCTCATCTTTAAACTTGGACTGGATAAAGCCCAGTGGGTCTTTGAATTTGAGTCTGTATAGCCTAGCAGTTGAGAACAGACTGCAGAGTTAAGTCCTAGCTCCAGTATTTACCAGCTGTGGGATCTTGCACAAGTTAATTCCTTACCTGTAAGGCTGTTTCCTTACCTGTCAAATGGACAAGTTAATAACATCTATTTCATAGAGTTGGATTTTTTTTTTTAAGATTTATTTACTTATTTGAGAGAGCGTGGCATGCGTCGTGCACACACATGCGTGAGCAGAGGGAGGTACAAAGAGAGAGAGAGAGAATCTCAAGCAGACTCTTGAGCACGGAGCCCAACAGGGGGGCTCCATCCCACGACCCTGAGATCACGACCTGGGCCAAAACCAAGAGTTGGAGGCTTAGCCGACTGCGCCACCCAGGCGCCGCCATGGAGTTGTTTTGAGATTTAAATAAATCACCAAATTTAAAGCACTTAGAATAATGTCTGACATGTTACTAAGGGTTCAGTGACCTTAGTAAGTATTATTTTTCCATAATACATTTATTTGTTTTTTCTTTGATTCATGTTCTCCTCAGAAACATGCAGGCTTTGTGAATTTTTTAGTTGAAAGTCTAGGTTCTTTTTTTTTTTTTTTTTAAGATTTATTTATGTATTTGAGAGAGCGAGGATGAGAGAGAGAGTTCAGTTGGTTAAGCGACTGCCTTTGGCTCGGGTCATGATCCTGGAGTCCCAGGGTCGAGTCCCACATCGGGCTCCCTGCTCAGCGAGGGGCCTGCTTCTCCCTCTGACCCTCTTCCGTCTCATGTAGTCTCTCTCTCTCATTCTCGCTCTCTCAAATAAATAAATAAATCTTTAAAAAAGAAAGTCTAGGTTCTTAAGCAGGAATTTTAAAAACAGCACGACTGCTGTCATCTTACTAGTTTCCAGAATACGGGGTCATGTTCTTCTGTCATGTGGCATTTGTTAACCTGAGCACGTTTTTAAAGTCTTTTTTTAACATTAATATCTAACTTTATATATTTTACATTCATATAACGTGTAGTATATTCCTAATGTGAAGAGACTCAGATACTTTACTAAAAACTTCTAGGCAAATAAAAACTAGTTGACTGTTGTAGCGTGAGCAGTTGTTATACGAGAGATTGTGGGATTCTTGTAGCATCCAGAAAGTCTTGCTAATCAGACTTAAATGAAAAATGTTTCCTTTCTCTCTACTCACAACACTCCTGACACAAATGAATGGGGCTTTTTCTCAAACCAACCAATTCTCTAATTCTCTGGACACTGACGGGGTGTCCTACAGTTCGGTTCAATTCTAGCATTACCCAGAGTCAGCGCAGACCCCCAGGTGACGAGACTGCCCTCCCCCCACTCACACATAACTCCCAGCGTGTCACCACCTGTGCTTCGGGCAACTGGCTCCAAAGCAGGGGTGCCTACGATCCTTTCTCAGGTTCAGTAATTTGCTATAGTGGCTCAAGAACTCGGGGAAACATTTATTTAAATTTGCCAACTTATTATAAGGGATATCATAAAGGATACAGATGAACAGCCAGAGGAAGAGATACACAGACGAGGTCTGGAAGGGTCCTGAACACGGCAGCTTCTGTCCCTGGGATTTGAGGTGTCCCACCCCCCTGGCACATAGATGCATTCACCAATCTGGAAACTCCCCGAACCCTGTACTTTTGGAATTTTCATGGAGGTTTCACCATGTAGGCAAGATTGATTACGAATTTAATCTCTCACCCCTCTCTCCTCCCTAGAGGTGGAGGGGTGGGGCTGAAAGTTCCAAGCTTCTACTTACAACTTTCTGGTGACCAGCCCCCATCCAGGAGCCCACCCAGGCACCTCATTAGAACAAAAAAATCCTCCTAACACCCAGGAAACTACAAGGGAGTTAGGCGCTCTGTGTCAGGAACCAGGGTCAGACACCAAATAATATCATATATCTTATTATGTCACAATACTAAAAATCAGTATTGTTGATTGATTTGAAATCAGACAATACAAAGAATGCAGTGTGCCCCCAAAATTAGGGTGGGCATTTTGATTTAAATTTCAGAATTCCCTTACGTCCATTTTTGTTTCCGCAGTATTTTCTTCACTGAGCCTGGGCCTGCTTCCAGAACGATCTGCCACTCTAATGGTGTATGAAGATGTTGTCCAAATAGTCTCAGGATTCCAAGGTATGTTGAATATTGAAAAAGAGAAAGTTACTGTCTACTGTCTACTAAGATCTTAGGAGAGACAGCCTCTTATCAGATGGTGATGGCAATGAATTTACCCAGAGCTGAACACAACGTGTGTTGTCCGTGTGAGTGTGCAAACACACTTGAATTCTTGGTTAAACTATCCACTGGCTGTGATCGTGTTTCTTTAGGGCCAGCCTTAAGTGTGTGAGAGAAAAGAAGGGACCGCCACCACCCTGCCCATACCACATCTCTCTCTCCTCCGAAGTTGAGGATATTTACCTCGTGAAGGACCCCACCTGAGCCTCATGAGCAAAGGTTCATAAGTATTCAAGGGGTTAGAGTTTCAGTTTTGTACAACAAAAAGATCTAGAAATCTGTTGCACAATAATGTACCTAACACTACTATACTGTACACTTAAAAATGAATGAGATGGTAAATTAAATGGTATGTGTTTTTTAACACAACAAAACAAAATACCCCCCCTTAAAAAAAGAGAAGATTTGTAGACTTCAAAGTGTGGTCTTTTCTCTCTCTTGTCCCGCATTTTCTTAACCCATCTGACATACATACAGTGATGTGCATAAATGTGACCTCACACCTCATTTCTCCTGTGGAGATACTAGTACAGAAAGCTTAAGGGATTTCTCTGAGCTGGTGGTGGGGTTAGAATTGGGAATAATACTTATGTCAAACGTATTTGTGCCAAGATCAGTTTCTTTCATCTAATCATGGCCCAGAGAGCGATCTTTCCAGGCTTTTAATGTTCCATCAGATTAATTTTTTATTTACTTCATTTTAATACCATTTGATAAGTATCATTCTCTACCTAACCACATCCTTGTGCCATTTGCAAATGAGGTGAATTCATTCATTCCTTTTTTGTTGAGTGGCTGTGGGGAACACTCAGCCATATAATTAACATATAACATTGTATTCCTTTTAGGCATACAACATAATGATTGGATATATGTGTATATTGCAAAATGATTGCCACAGTAAGGCTAGTTAACATCCCTCACCCCACACAGCTACAAATTTTTCTTCTTGTGATGAGAACTTTCAAGACCTACTCTCTTAGCAACTTTCAAATATACAATACAGTATTAAACTGTATCACCATGCTGTACATTATATCCCCAGGACTTAGTTATAACTAGAAGTTTGTGCCTTTTAAGCCCCTTCACCCACTTCCCCCACCCCCACCCCCCACCTCTGGCAACCACCAGTCTGTTCTGTTTCTATGAGTTCGGTTTGTTTCAGATTGCACATATAAGTGAGATCATGCAGTACCTGTCTTTCTCTGTCTGGCTTATTTCACTTAGCTTAATGTCCTCCAGGTTCAACCATATTGTCACAAATGGCAGGATTTCCTTCTTTTTTATGGCTGAGTAATATTCCATCGTACATCACATTTTCTGTATCCGTTTATCCATTGATGGACACTTAGGTGTGTCCACGTTTTGGCTCTTCTAAATAATGCTGCAGTGAACATGGAGTGTGACAATGGTTTTCTTGAAATGAGGGAACGATTGTACTTCCTTCTCATGTTCTTCACTAAGAGAGGAATCTTTAGTGTCTTGCTCTCGTTTCAACTGGACTAAATTCCGATAAAGACCAAAATGATCTTTATCGGAATTTTGGTCTTTATCAGAATTTAACCCAGTGGAAAATGATAGCAAGAGTTGAATGGTGGCAATGAATGTCCTTGATACAGATAGACTGTCCTCACCCATTTATGTCATGGCATAGGTTAGGATAATCAGGGTCTAATTTAGAGCTGACTGCAGCTCTTCAAATAGCAAATGAGAGTGACGAATCCCCTGGACCAGACTCCTTGTGGCTTTGGAGTTTGAGACCTACTTCGCATTTCCTGAGGAAAGGAGCCTGTGCAGCCTGCCAGCAACTCATACCCAGCCTGGTCGGGACTCTGCTGCTTCTGATTGGGGTTGTTGTTGCTGTGCCGTGTGTCCACGTGGCAGGGGGACTGACACAAAGCAATTAAACAGGGAGTGTGACCCACATGTCACAGCATCTTCTTTTTAGATATGCCTTAGGACCCACTGTTTTCTTTCATAGCCTCGAATGTTTTGATTTTTTATTTAAAAAAACCACGGGGTACCTGGGCGGCTCAGTCAGTTGGGCATCTGCCTTCGGCCCAGGTCATGCTCCCGGGGTGCTGGGATCGAGCCCCGTGTCGGACTCCCTGCTCGGCGGGGAGTTCGCTTCTCTCTCGCTTTCTGCCCCTCCCCCCGCTCATGCGCACTCTTTCGCTCTCTCTCAAGTAAATAAATAAATAAGTCTTTTAAAAATAAATAAATAAAAATAAAAGTAAAAAACTGACCGCCTGCCATATGTTACACAGCGTTCTAAGTGTTCCTCTTAACTGGCCCTTTCCCCACCATTTCCTCAGAGTTAGTCCTCATCTCCTCTCTTGCTGGCTATTCTCATTCTTTGTTCCAGTTTTCTTCTGCTTTCTCTGAATTGCCCATTCTTTCCCCGAGATGTTGGTCCACTAACATCTTTGGTAGAACGTTCTCAAGAAGCCAGCTGGGCTTCTGCAGTGTGGACCTGCCTGTGGGCCTTTATAAATGGAGACGGGCCAGGCTGCAGGATACAGACCAGAAATGACATTGTCCAGGAGAGCCCCCCCCACCCCCCCCACCCCTGCCTGCCCCAGCCCTCCCTCACCCTGTGTCCTCTGGGCACAGATATGGCTGCAGCCACTCCCTTCCACCTCTTCTCTGAGCACTGCCCCCCCTTCCTGGTCTGAAATGTCCCTGAGTTCACACAGCCTTCCCTGCAGCCTTCTCAAGTGGGGGCTGAGTTTACATGACTTGCCTCTTTGCGGCTCCTTGGAGGCTGGCTGGACCACTCACCACCAGTGTCTTGGTCAGCTTTCCTCCTGGACTCATGAGAGGAGCTCCTAGTTCCCAGGTTCACGACGCTCCTCTGGCTGTGTCTTGGGAACGCTAGCATACCTACGGACGATGCCGTCTGCTGCTGTCTCACTCCCGGGGCGCTTCTCTCCCCGCTGGGTGACTGACCGCCCACTTCTGCAGTCACGCCTTAGGCCTCCTCATTCCAGCAAAGGCACCACCTCCAAGCTCAGCCACCACATTCCCTCCTCTTACCTGTGATAACAGCTCACGTACCACTGAGGGCTCCAGAGCCGTGACCCACCGTGTCCTTGCCAACAGGATTGCCTCCCTCCGCAGCCGAAGTGCCGTTGTCCCCTTGCAGCACCGCCCCCCCAGCAGTGTTGCTCCCCTCCCCCTCTGCCACGTTTGCCTGACTCAGTAACTTCTGAGCCTGGTTGACCTGAGCCACGTATGGCCACCCCAGCACAGCCACACATGGCTGCACAGACCCTCACATTGCAGTGACTGGTTGCACAGCTGGTTCATGACCACAGGCCTCAAATGGGCATCAGCCCTGCAGGACGGGGGCCCTTTCTGGTCATTTGTTTTCTGAGTCTCCAAGACGACTTTGACACCCTCTTCTCGATCTCCTGACTTCCTGTGTGTACACCCACACTCACATCCTCGCTCTCAGCTCATGACGTCACTACATACTTCACGGAGAAACTGAGAGCCCTCACTTGCCCACCTGCAAGTCCACAGACCCGCCCGCTGCTCCTTGTTGGGCTGGAAGGAGTGTCCCTGTCCAAGTACACGTCAGTCCCTCTGTTTGTGCTCTGCATCCCCATCTCTTCTCTTGCACAGGGATGTCAGTGTTCCCTCTCGCTCCCACCCCACTTTTTTCTCCCATGCTGGAGTGGACAGATATTACAGTTGTGCATCTCTGCCAGTTGCTTCCACGACCATGCCCGGCTCTCGCCACTGCCCTGGGTCCCTGTGATGTCTACATGCCCTTCTTTCCTGCTTCCTCACCGGCCTTTCCCTGTTCGGCACACTGCAAGCCCTCCCCTGCCTCAGCTCTCCGTACCGACTGCTTTGTTGGAGTCTCTTACAAGCCCCACGTGGCCAAACCCAAGGACATTCCTCTCCGCATCTCCCTGGACGTCTCCACAGCATCCTGCAGAGATGACTCGAGACTCTCCTCCCTTCACTCCCATAACATCATGCCTTGATTTTCTTTCTCCTCTTGGTCACTTCTCTGGACACTCCGGTGACTGTCCTGGGCCTACATTTCTTCTTTCAAGGACTCTCCCTAGAAGATATCATGGGCCCATGCCTTAATGCTCCCCAGACACGGATAACTCCCAGTCTCTCACCTCCAGCCTGGACTCCCCGAGAGGGAGGCCCTCAGCTAGCTGCTGCTTTGTCGTTTCCACTTGGCTGTCTAGTAGGCATCTCAGACTTGACTTATACACACAGAACTTTGTGTTTTATTCTCCATCTCCATAGACGGTACAAACATGGTACCTCAGGGGTCAAGCCAAACCCTAGGAACTATCCCTGACCCTTCTGTCCTCACAGCTGGCTCCCTGGCAGGGCTGCTTCTCTCCACCTGCGTTGCACCACACGGATCCAAGACACAACCCCCCGGCCCCGGCCCGGAGAGTTGCAGTAGGTTTTTAATTGGCTGTCTCATTCCCACCCTCGCCAACCTATAATCTAGTCTTCACCCAGTTACAGCAATCAAGTCCCCTTGCTTCTGCTCTTCAGCAGCTTTCCCTCTAGAATAAAGTCCCAAATGCTTACACTCTGTGCTGGACAGCGCCCTGGCCCTGAGCCTCGGTGGCTGTGTGGTTACCTGGAAGGTGAGGGTCGGTAAGAAGGGGTGGAGACTGCGGTATTTGTATACATGGTTTCCCTCGGGCAGGCTTTCTGCAGCCCGGCCCCCTCCACGCATACTTCTTAGTCCCCACAGTTCCCATTGTAGACCTCTCCTCTTCTCCTTCCCAGGCACCTTTGACCTCCACTGCACCCACATGTGTGACCCCTTCTCAGTCCCCCTCTCCCCGGGAGTGGCACTAACCTATCAAGCTGTTGGTGACAAGGGCTCACACTGCAGCCTACGGAGCCCGTGC